CTTGGCCTGCTGTGTTCATCCAGCTCTACACCGTGTTATCTTAGTACAATCCACTGACCTGTGTAATTTTCAAAATAAATTAATTTTTTTTGTAGTTCCATTCTACTCAGAATAGAGTTAGTTAAAATGAATATTTGGAGTGAGATTTTTAAGCCAGATTGTATATTTCCCTGTGTCCCAAATTATCCATAGTCTTGCTCCATACAATGTTCTTTATAGATCTTGCGGTAAATATGTTTTGACTTTCTGCTAAGTAGCAGCAAGTTGAAAATTGGATAATGATGGCAATTAGAGGTTTAGCTTAATATTTGGTATGTAATACTTTAATACTTAAATATAAATTAATTAAATTTTCTTATAATAATAGCTTCAATGTTTGCTAGACAAAAGTGAGCAGAAACAGAATGAAAATTGAACATTTTCCCCAACTAATATAAATAAGTTTTAGGCATCCAGGAGGTATGGCATAGGTCAGAGCTTATGTTGCACAACCCAACAATCTATCTGCAAAACAGCCCAGTACCAAGGGATCATTCTTGCTTTTTATTCATTTAAGTTTTAATTGTATTGCCAGTAAGTTACAAATCTGAGGGCAATTTTGTCTTGTTGATGTGTATCAACAAGAAATTAAGTAAGGAGATGCTGAACTATTTTTTTCTCGGAACTTGTCACAGACATTCAGACCATCTGTGTATGTTGGTTTGAACCCAGATCCTTGTGGTGAAATGGCAGTATTCTAACACATCAGATCGACAATGCCTACTCCTATGCCATCTTAAGCAGATTGATTCCTGAGATCAGTCAACCCCTTTCTTATGTTGTTTCCTTTTAAACATGACAAGAAATGTCTCAGATTTATAGAACACCATATTCCCTTCTCTGTGGTTAAAGATCTGTTTTCGACTGCTTGCTCCTAAGATTATAAACTTATCATGGGGAATCTTAAAGGTGTGAATTCATTCAACCACAAGAGCACAAAGCAATAAAACCCAATCATATAAAACAAAACCTCCAGGCCCTCCCTTCCAACTACCAATATTTTCTTATTTTAGTTAAATGTTTTTGCCTTCATAGTACTGTATAACTCAAGATCAAGACAATGTTGGCTCATCCAGTCTTCTCTGCCATCTTTGCTATGATGTGGCTTTATATTTTTAATCCTAATAGCTTTTCCTTTTTTCCCCTATCTTTTAACCTCTTACTTTGCAATTGAACATATTTATGGCTTTTTAATGTTTTAATTAACTTTGCATGTAATGCTTTCAGGGAATTGTTTCATATTCTCATATCCTTCATGTGCAAAGCTTTTCTGGAATCTCCTCTAAACATTTGACCTTGATTTCTAGGTTTACATCCTTTTCTCCTAAATTTGTACTAGATGGGAAATAAATGTCTACAGTCCCAATCACATTCATTCATTAGTTCCATACTTCTCAAGAATATAATGTAAATATATAACTCTGCCCTAATCCAGGCATCATTCTGATGAATTGTCACTAGGGGTAGAATTTTCTCTTCCTATGAGTGGCACATGCACTGGCAAAAAAATTGGGAAAATCTTGTGAAAATCAAAAAAATAGGATCTCATACTGAGAAAAAATTCCTGCTTTTCCCCTTTAGCTTTAAATGGTGACTTTGGAATCTCACTATTGAATAGCAACTACCTTATTTCCATGCATTTGATTCTTTTATGAGCAAGGTGGTAAAATATTTTACAAAAGAAGCGAATATGTGATGAGAAAGAACGTCTTTACACAGCAAGTGGTAGTGACATTACACATCATAGTGTGAGGGGCAGTTCCTAGATTGCATCATTCAAAATGGTGACTTTAAATATGACAATGGGGTACATGCCAGAAGGTCCCAGCAGTGGTGAGCAGTTACAACTCTCAATTTACAATGGGAAGATACATAACTAATGAGGTGAAAAGTGGAAGATTATGGGAGAAGAGTTGTTTTGGGCCTTGGTGGACCGGGCACTGTGAACCACACTCAACAAAACACCTTCACAAAAATGGAAAAATTCAGTCCTAGGTTTTCTTCAAGATTGGTATCCTACCCAGAATACAATCCCAACACTGAAGGCCATCTTTGAACTAAGAACTTTTATATTCTAAAGCTCTTGTAATGAAACTCAGTATCCTACCAGCCTTTCTTTGTAATTCTGTACTAATGTTTTATACCCGATGAAGTTGGATACCTAAAAACCTTTAGCATTTAATCTATGTTCTCATCTTCCATTCACATATCCGAACAGTACTCACATACAACTTATCATATTAAGCTGCATGTATCATTGTTTCTCCTAACCATTTAACTTTCTGAGCTCTTTGCAATTTTTTGCTCCTTCTTTGGGAAATATCTCTTACTTAGTGTTATATGCAGACTTGGATTTGCCCTTTTCGTTTCCCATCTTGCGATAATTAGTTTACAATTTAAAACTGAAATCCCTGCACTGACCCCAGGGTGTTATGATTTGCTTTTATACAGTATGAGAGTGTTCATTCCATCCTAATTCCCTTTCAACCACTTCCCAATCATTACCATGAAACAATTTCCAATTCTGTCCAAATTCTTTATGAAAATCCATCTCTACAAAACCATTGATGGTGCTTTCAATTACTTTAGAAATTCTTTAGGCTAATTCTTTTTTCTTTATTCATTCATGGGATGAGGGCTTCACTAGCTAGGCAGCATTTATTGCCCATCCCTAATTGACCAGAAGGGCATTTAAGAGTCAACCACGTTATCTGGTCACGATTTCAAGGTGAGAGGGGAAAAGTTTGAGGGAGATATGCGTGGAAAGTTCTTTACACAGAGGGTCGTGGGTGCCTGGAACATGTTGCCAGCGGAGGTGGTGGAGGCGGGCACGATAGCGTCATTTAAGATGTATCTAGACAGATACATGAATGAGCAGGGACCAGAGGGATACAGATCCTTGGAAAATAGGTGACAGGTTTAGATAAAGGATTTGGATCAGTGCAGGCTTGGTGGGCTGAAGGGCCTGTTCCTGTGCTGTAATTTTCTTTGTTCTTTGTTCTTTGTACTGCAGGTCTGGAGTCACATGTGGGCCAGACCAGGTAAGGGTGGCAATTTCCTTCCCTAAAGGACATTAGTGAACCAGATGGGTTTTTCCAACAATTGACAGTGGATTCACAGTCATCATTAGACATGTCTTATCCTTTACAATACCATGGTGACTCTTAGTAATTTGGTTATATCATTCCCAGGTATTCCCTTATTCTATTATTGATGATGGATTCCAGCAACCTTTCCACCACTGGAACTGGTTGCAGTGGCCTGTAAATTGTTAAATTGTCCCTGCTTCCTTTTCTAAATGTGCTGTTGTCCAATCCTTCAAAACTGTTTCCAAATCCAACAAACTTTGAAAGATTATAATTGATATATCCCATTTCATTTTTTGCTAATGTCTTTTAAATTAGAAGTTATCCAGACTTGTAGAATTGTTCAGCTTCAACCTTATTTTGGAGTTACAATTTTTCTTTTCAATTTTAACCTTTGTAAGTTAGTCCTTTTCATTAATGTTATCCTGATATCTCTAGCACTGTAACAAAACACTAAAGCTACTGGAAATCAGAAAGTTAGAGCAACTTGGCATATCTGGTAGCATCAATGGAGAGAGAAACAGAGTTAAGACTTCAAATCCAATATGACGTCTTCAGAACTGAAGTGAAAAAATGATGGGTTTTCTGCTGTTGCAAAATGTAGTAAGGAGCAAGTAGAACAGAGGAAAGGTCAGGGAAGAATTAGAGGATGAGGGAGGTTAGAAATCAATAAGTGCCAAAGAACAAAAGACAGAGAGTGGTTTTTCTATAGACAAAATACAAAGCATAGAACCCACAGTTGGCGTTAGTAGCAGTGTAGATAGCAGAATATAAGTTGTATCCATTGAAAGCAAAACCATATTACCTCTGGTTATATTTTCTTTCTCCATTATGAAAACCAAAATTTTAAATTAGTTAGAAAAGCTGACATGCCATCATCTGTTATTATTATATTGTTATTAATTTAAGGTTTACAAGATGTTTCCTTTCAGGAAATATAGTTCCCTAAGAACTGAAATGCACCATTATGTGCGTAACATTTAGGTTGTTGTAGCTTTGTCTAGCAGTCAAAAGAAATACCACTGAAAATAATCTCTGGAATCAACCAAAAAACATATTCTATTAGTTTCTAAAGTGGAAAAATACAATATTGTTTCAGATGATATAGCTTAGATTTGTAAAAGTCAAAATTAAACAGTTTCAGAAATTTTACACAGCTTAATAGAAAGTTAATATGTAAAAATTCAATTGAACATTGCTGAAATAGAATTGCTTAGCCATTCTTTTCTGTGCTTAGTTAGAACCAGATCCTTGTATGTGGTTCTTCTGGAAATCCTCTAGCAGGAGAAGGAGGAACTGAGGAGCAAGAGGGAGTAACAAGAGCAAGAAACAGAGTTGAAACTGCAGGCAAAGCTAATTGACAGTAATATAATCGGCAGGAATCTGTTCTCCCAATAGATCCAGAACTTCAAGCCTGCGTTTCTCTGAGGAGAGTGAATGAGGACATTATGTTTCTCTAGGGAGATGATAACTGTAGCTAACTGCCATAAGTAGCCTGTTTTAATCAAGATTGCTGGAGCTCTGAATTTTGTGTCTGGTTCCTGCCAGCTTTCTACAGGGCATTTAGAAATATCAGTCAGTTTGCAAGTTCATGATTGTATTAAACAGGTGATTGATAATGACAGCAAACACACATCACTTTCCCATGCACATCCAGATCTAGCAGGATAGGATGCTGGGGTTCATACAAATTTCGGCATTTTACCAGTTTCACAATGGTATTGACTACACTCTTGCCATTATGCAAGTTCCACAGAAAATGAGCTTTCCACGCAGTAATGTGTAACTTGTGTGACCAGCAGCACATCAATTTATTGCTACATTCCTATCCTCCCTCCATTTACCCCAGTAAAGCAAAGGCAAAGATGTACTTGTTTAGATACCATGGATCCCTTGGCACATGAACTCTTCTCAGGAGCCCATTTCCAGCTGCAGAACTCTACTACTATCATACCAGCAGTGATTCAGGTATCCTGTCTGGTGCTTTTCTGTAATACAGTCCAGAAGCACCGTCCTATGTGATTTCCGTTGGGCATGTGCTGTGTGAATTTGGTCTGCAATGGGAAAACATGTTTAAAAAGTGAAGGAGGACCTTTAATATTTCTAAGGAGGAGTGAGTTTTGATAAAGGAGGGACGGTGAAAAAACATAAAGAATCCACAAATTCCAGCAATGAGAGTTGAATAGTCCCTACTTCCCTGCATTAACTGTCATAATCAAATTCCTCTCTATCCATTCATTTGCAAAAAAAACCTTAATTGATGAAAGTGTGACATTAATATTCATACCAC